ATGTGAAACTGACGGTTCTCGTCTACGCAAATGGTTAAATGCTGCCGGTGGAGCCGGTACTCGTCTGGGTGCTGTTTCACAAGCGGTATCGGTACGGGATCTAGAATTGGTTCTCTGTTACGATCTGTCCTCCCTGGCTGAGTATGCAAGTCGCCATGGTGAAATGACTCAAGCTGATCTACAATTGTTAAAAGTAGTCCTGGCCGGTGGTCTTTATCCACATGTGGCTATTGGTGATAATGCCAATGCATATCGAGTAGCCAATCGAGGTGNAGTGAGTAGTGTTCAGTTGGTTCTTGCACTGATCCATGCTTGTGATTTTTTTTCAAATCTTGCTCTACCTTTGTTCATTTTTCTTATATTTCCCTTAGTTGTTTTTTAGTCATACGAACACTTTTGTACCTCTGCTCCTGATATCTCGTTGGCCTCACCTTCCCTTGTTCTCAATTTCTTGAGGTTTTGTTTTCTTCAATTGTCTGTACTTAGATCAAATTTCTTCGTGTACAAGTTTTAACTCAGTTCACCAAATCCAGTTGTTATTCCGCTTCATCTCCCGCCTGTCAAGGATCCATTGTATTGTGAAATGTGATCTTTTTATTGTGCAACGTCTTTTGGAATGCGCGGAAACATGCGTTGAAATCAATCCAAGAAAATGATACTTATGGTGTTCGGTTTTACACTACTGTCCTTTGTGTGAGGGCTTGTTAATTCAGAACTTATGAGCGTTAAATGAGGAGCAATGTAATTTCCCAATGGATCTTACAATCTTTGTTAATCAAGACATCTTGTCACTAAAATTGAGCACTACAACAACAGCATCATAGTCCGTTCAATGTATGTGAACTGAATCAGCCCTGTGAATTCACGTTCGTAGACTCCAAGGAACCGGGTGTTTTGGTCCAACAACCTCACCACCTCATTTTTCCCAAGCACTTGTTAGCTGACAATCCTCCTTTCCTTCATTCCAGACAAAAGGTTTTGTCACACTACATCCGAACGATGTGTTCGTACGGAATCCTGATGTTTTGTTTCCGCGCAATAAATCCGAAGCAGATGAAACACGGGCCGCACAAGATTTACCGTCAGGCTATGCCACGGATCATCAGCTTTTGATGTATTTGTAAGTAATCCACTTGCACTTGGTTATGTTTGCTCACCTCGGGTCTCGGAACTCAGCTCGTTTCATCTTTGATGCATGACCAAGTGAAGCCACTGTTTCGCCCTAATTTCCCCATCACTTTACCCGGGAAATCTAATCAATTCGTGGGCGAAATTATGATTAACGTTTGTTCGTCAAGTAGGGTAGCATTTTGATAACTAGGGAAACACCTTACAAAAATATCGTTTGTTCAGGAATCCTGTTTTATTGAGAAGAATTTTATCTGATTGGAATCTAAATGGATGTCTGGATATCCGATATGTTGACAAATACGTGTCCTGTTTGTGTTCCACTATCGCCGCCTATGCCGCGTTGCACAAATCTGATGGGGAAAATGGACGAGCAATGTTGGTGGTGGTGTTCTGCGAGCTGAGAATGTTGTTCGCAGATTTACTCTTTCTCTCACGGAGAACACACCACCACCAACCTCCACATCCCGAGCTACAATCGTTCCACATTATTTCCTGGACGAGCAATGCCGAAGTTAAGCATAGAATTTTAAGTAACCGTGGTCGTACCCTGGATTAAGTGGTTGACCTCCATGGTTTGGACATGTATGGTTCATTTCACCAGATAGGTTACCATGGCGCGCTATGTTTGCCGAGGTAGGCGGCGGATGGAAAATAATCGAGGGTGGTCAAACTAAGGCTTCGAGATCATTATAATCAATGATTGAAGACATAATAATATGGCTGAGTGTCGTGAACAGTGGCACTCGTACATCTCAATTTCCTTGCAACATTAAGCTACTGGAATTCTCCACTTTCTGTTTGAATCTTCTTTAAATTTTCCAATATCTCTTCTTCCCCTTCAGGTAGACGAGCAGCACGAAGACAGCAACTAAAACCGTCGCACAAAAGTTCATAGTTAGCGATTGTACAAACCATACTAAGTCTCCTGAACGATTATCAATAGATATGAGCCGCTTTTAATTGCCTCGCCTCATGGGGGGATCAAGTGAGACATGCATTGGTAAAAATCCCCAATGGAATAAAGTCCGCTGGAAAATTCCACGAACTTTAGGTTCCTTATAGTTTATATTGAGCTAAAGTACGGCCATAGGGTGGGGTAAACCAGCATCAGTGGAAGTCACACAAAAGATTCATGTCCTCAGATCCATATTGGGCATTGGGCTATTCGTAATGGCTGAAATTCTACCCATTTGGTTATTGTGACAAGCTGGGATTTGATCAATCGGCATGTTTAGTTGCGGCTTCCAGGTATGTTCCGGTATCAAAGATGTTACTCTCATTAGTCCTAAAAACTTTCCGAATAATCGAGCCGACTGAATGAACGGGCTATAATAGAAATATGGTAATGCATACACCCTACTGTATATCAAATTCTGCCAGTCAATGCTCAAGCCACCGTCTTTAACTTCCAACCTACAATCGCTTTCCCATCGCCGGAAGTTGCTTTGTTTTCTCTTTTCTATCGTTACTATTTTGGTTTCTGCTCTTCCGAACTCGCTTCAGCGGTTCCCCTTCCATTGGCCTTCTCCCGTCCATCTCGTTCTCAGGCGGGCAGTCACCCTTATCAGGTTTCTGCCTCCAGATGTCGGACTTCTATCTTTCAATCTTTTTTTCCCGAGGACTGCGAAATTGTGGAACGCTCTTCCAATTTCCGTGTTTTGCAGCTCTAATAACCTTACCCTTTTCAAAAGCAGGATTAACAAATTGGTCCTTACTTGAATGTTCTCCCACATACCTCCCCCTTACAGTATATCATTGATTATGGGGTTTACCCCTTTTGCTGTAAATCATTTCGTGTGCAATAAAATGCCACCTCTGGCGTTTTTCTGTCCTAAAGGAGGGGAAAAACAGTTTCTCTTTGAAAACCAAGTGACCTGATGTGCTATTCATGCGTTTTGCACCGCTCTGCTCAAGCGAGGGTACTGAGTGAATATTCACGTATCTGAAGACGTATCGTATCGGTAATGCATGACTAAAATGTGCATGTAAAGTCGATGAGGTAAGTTTACCGTCAATGTAAAACCATAGTCAATTATATACTGGTAGAAATATACATATAAGAAAATTAATTAATTATCCTTTATCAGGACCATTCTTCCTCCTTTTCTGTATGATTCGTCTGTTATTTGTGTTAATATGTTACTCATTTAACCATGCTTAAAACTGTTATCACAGTAATATTTATATTGAGTCGTGGGACTCGTACAATCGATACTTTACCATCCAGTGATCAGCATACAGTATTTATCCATTCCCAAAAAATTGTCTCTTTATCCTCACTTGTTTTACGCCGCAGAGACCTCATGGAGACAACTCGACCGTTCCTCGTGAACACATTGCGTGTACCCGCCCTTCCTACACTCCTGCTTTACAGTCGTGAAATAGATACCAATGAGAATGCAACACGGTGAGCTTAATGGTCAACGCACCCTCATCTTTTTTGGAATATACTATGATATATGATAATCATGGATTACTTGCGCACTTAGCTTTATGTCTATATCCCAGCTGGTTCGTTAGAGACATAAATAGGATTGAGGTTGTGAGATATTCTAGACTGGAGATTATCATGTGATTGCAAGTGGAAGGTCGTCAATCGCCATCTCCCTTCCTCTGAAGGTTCACAATGGGAGAAAACTGATTCGATGAATAAAGATAGATATATTCTTATTACCAGTAAAATTATACTTTCCTCAGTTTTGACTAGAATTTTCGCTATTTCTCCCATTCAATCTGTCCATTATCCTGAGATCCCAAACTCTCTATGTTCTGACGCTACCCAGACCACGCGTTGTGATTTGCATACCTTCTATCACGTCGCGGAATAGTCGTCTTTAACAATCCGCTAACAACGTGTTTAGAAAGATATCCACGATGGCTGTTTGTAATCTATCATGGGCCGTGGGGGCCTGGACCCGGTGCCAATATCCGATCTCGACTTCCCATGTCCAATGGGACGTCAATGACAATAACAAAACTATACTGACTAGGTTTTCCTATCCATGACCGGATAGTAGGTTTTGGTGTTGACAACCGAGGAGCTTATGGTGGAGTCTCTTAAAGTCAGGTCTCGATTAGAACACATCTATCATGTACTTCTCCTTTTTGATCACATTTGCCGCGCCTCTATAGAAAGATGCTCGAAAACCAACACTTGCACGCGTACAGAAAGTCGCAGAACCTTGTATCTTCAGGAAGAGTGGCTTGATCCATTGGTGTCCTTACAAAGATTCATTGACACTCTAACAGAACTCATGAATGTCGCAAAAATGACCAAGCCTGTCGGCAAATCACATGCACAGTTATCACCTATTCGCAGCCGAACGGCAAAATGGATGGCATGGAGGAGTTTCTCCCGATGAGAGTTTAAAAGATGTCCAACTGCCGACATTTGGGCTACTTGGGATCATGTTGATAAGCCTTTGTGTCAAACTTGTGCGAGAGGAAGAACAGAGGTATCAAGAAACCCCGGCTCATTAATTTATTTCCAGTCCAACTCTCTTATTGAATCATATCAATTCCACCAGAAAAGTGAAATACAAAATACCGGCACTGAGGCAAACTGGACACGTCTCCACTACCATGTCTGAGGCAGCCTTTTTATTATTCACTACAGGTGGCAACCTCGGATTGCAGCTTTTACATCTTCTATCGTGTGTTCCATGCCCGCAATTGGCTACCGTCACCTTCGAAACGCAAGCGGTAAAAACCAAACCGTTGACGTTCGGATGCGTTCGTCTCCGAGGTGAGGACAACAATCATCACAGACTCTAACCTCCCTGGCAGACCACATACATGAATTAATCGCTAATTTACACCAAAGTGTGTTCAACAAGACGACGATTCCTCTATCTTGGAAACAGTATCGTTTCGCCTATTTACAAACGCGGCTGCCGAAGTAATCTCGCCAACTACCGTCCGGTTACACTTCTTCCTGTTCCGTTAAAAGTAATGGGATCAGTTGTTACTGAATCTGTGATGAAGTACTGCGAGAAGTATAACTTTCTACTGACAGCCCCATACAGATTGCCACGAAAATGGGAGTGCACCACAAATCTGTTACTTACGTGTGGTGAGTAAACAGGAACAGTTGACGCAGTAGACGTAATCTGCTTGGACTGCTCCAGAGCTTCTGATAAAGTGAACCACCATTTACTGCTGCGAAAGTTGCGCAATTGCAGTATTCGAGGACTGCTCCTTTGCTACTTTGAGGAATTTCTTCGGCAACTTACCTCATCTGTTCGAGTTCTTAGTTCGGGACCGATCGACGCTGTCCATGGGGTACCATAGTGATCCGTGCTCGGTCCCCACCTTTTCCTAGCATTCATAAATTCTCTGCCACACATCCCTGGGGCACAAGCACTACTATTCGCTGATGACGCCAGAAAAACCAACAACAGTACAACGTCTTGAAGATTACAAAACTCAACGGTAAACGCTCAACGTACCTTCCCGATGTTCTATCAATAACTACACGGAATTCAGCATTGAAAAATGTAAGATTGTAGCATTGCTTCACAGAGTTCACTTCTATAAGTACTTGGAAATCAGTCATTCCCGCGAGATTCAAACAAGAAGGATCTAGTGAGTTATTGTTCGATAGGATTCAGAATGTTATACACATTGTTTAGCAATTCAAACGTGTTTTGGACGGTTTGAATCAGTTTTATTTCCCCATTTGTTATTAGCAGAAATTAGACCTCACACCGAGTATGCCATCCGCGTTTGGAGTCCCTGGCTAATTTGTGACAAAAAACGCTTGAATGCCCGTGGAGGATAGCAACCAAGATGGTCAAAGGCTGGAAATCCTTGGATTCTATTCATCCCAATACCGCTGAATTCAGGGAGGCATGATCCGCATATACCAAATACTGCATCCACCGGTTGACACTATTTACGAATGATCACCTCGGGGGATATCCCTTTAAATTATTGACCCACAAGAGTCGGCTAGACTGCATGCATCAGTCTTTCAGCATCTGAGAATTTAGCACCTGGAACTCTCTTCCACCCCAAGTTGTTTGTGCTATGGCCATCGATTCGTTCAAGTCGGAGCTCGGGAAAGCATTGAAATACCTAACTATCCAGGATTCCTGAGTGAAGCTGATAATGTGTTATTCCATTATGTCACTACATTGTTATCCAAACCCAGTGTGTACAGCTTCTATGGGATTCAATAGGCTTAGACTTTATTGATTATCCATAATAAAAGTTTGAATTTGCGATGGAACGGTTCTTTTTATATCTGAAAGGTAGTCATCACCGCATTTAGAACAAACAAATTAGCGAAACAATTGTTTTTCCGTAATTCATTCTCGAGCGGTTTACAGATTACATACAATGCAATACTAGAAAGCAGATCACACAGATAGATACCATCAACCATGGGTCAGCGTTTGTCACGGTCAAATTGTTAGTTTGTCTTTGGCCTTTCTCCAAGCCCGCAAAGATGGGTTGTGCTATATCGTGTAAATCGAAAATGAAAAACGGTCTGATCCGGTGGCCGAGTGAAAGCATGCCTACGTTCTGCCCACCAGGTCCCGAGTTCGATCCCCAGTTGGGTCGACGGATTCGCACTGCTGATGAGTCTCAACCAGGTCGAAACAGCTGTCCAGTGCTTCCTAGCTTTTCAGTTCACGCTTCATTTGACATATACACGACGAATCTCCCCTTTGAAATTGAACCGAGTCCTCCGTTAATCACATAGTGCTATTTAATTGTTTGGCTAGCTTACGACCTCAGGGTAACTGGATGGCGGAAACCTGATCTATCGCGGCAATGGAATTTGGAGTGACTGAACCAAATGCCTTTAGGCGCAGAGGTCAGGGATCAACTTTCGTAGCCCTATCACCTCAGCTATTGCTTGAGTACACAGTTGAACGCCCTTGCATTTAGTGTGGGGGACAAGATAAACAACTTTGAAAGCGATATTCAGATTCATTTAATGTCCGGTTTTTACTGAGTGAGCTAAGTTTGAGCTGTGTATTAATCCGGTCTACTTTAGTCTCGATCATTGTAACGCACCGTAATTTGGCAGCGCTACAGATGTTTATAACTTCGAAGGCGGCCCGAGTTTGGACACTGGCCATGGCCGAGGCGATCACCATTCGCTTACTAGGCCCTAACCTGTGTGCCCAAAAACGACTGATGCAGGCGCTCCAATTGCCTTGGCCGGGTGTGAAAACCAACACAGAACATGACGTGTCACTTGACCCAAGTGTGGATAGGTCACATCAAATAACACGCTAAACATTCCTACACCATTACTCTCTGCCTCCGATTAATGACCTTAAATTGAGCCAATGGCTATCATTATGTAGTATTTTTTTCCTTTATATGAAATGTAAGAGCTAACTAGGACTATCCAAAAACAATCGTTCGCTCACCGACTCGTTTTCTCAATGCTATCATGGGAATATTCAAGCTTTTGTAACTTCTGTCTTCAGACGTAGAATTAGAATCTCACTCGTAGCAACGCCTTTAAATGACAAACTGATGAACAAATCTTTCTTTCTCACAGTTTCCTTCGGAGTTTTTGGTACTTTTTCAGACAGATTGCTTTCGACAAAATGATCCGCATATCTGTTCTCACGCAATCAAAAGCGTGCCATGTAATTATCAAACCAGGGGAAAGTTAGGTGGCCGATATAATATTCGAATGCACTAACTCTGGGCTGGTAATTTCATAACCCAAATGCCCTATTGGTATAGGTGCATCCGCATCGCTCCTCTAGGTTGTGCTCCAGATTTTGTTCTTCTCGAAACAACTGCAATCTAAAAACGGATTTTTCATCTCATTAAAATATTTCTCCGAACGAGCGTAGTGTTGCAGTTTAAGTAGAATAAATCACCAATTTTGTTTCACTTTTCCGAAACATTACAAGATGCTGTTCTCTCACCACATATGTTTTCAGATTACATCATTGATCCGACTGTTACTGTTCCGAAATGATCATGTGACTGACTGCTTCCAGTCCTTCAGATCTGCATACACACCCATAATTTGTCACAACTTCACATTTACCATTCCCGGTTTATTTTAAACCTTGCATCTCTATGGAATTCCATTTCGCCTGTTCGTCGAGCTTGGCAATTTGTTTACTAACGTTTCATCACCAGCCGAGGTGACATCATCAGTGCTTGTGATGATGTCACCTCGGCTAGTGATGAAACGTTTGAAAGCAAATTGCCAAGCTCGGTGAACAAGCGAAATGGAATTCAGTTCACCGTGAGCTACGAGAACCGATTGTCAATATTTTGTCAACATATCTGTGAAATGTCCATCGAGCATCCCTTCTACCATGCATAATGTGACGGTGAATCCGAGGCTTTCATCCATCGCGGTTAACCCCTACGCTTTTTGGTAGGTAGTGACCTAAAGTAACCGTCACATGTTCCCTTTTGTGTTGGAAAATTGAGGCGATTATTGTTCCAGATTCATAAACTCAGACCGCGACTCGCGAAGTCATCACGATCGTCTCTTTTTATTTCAGAGTTGTAATCCTGCACCCCTAGGTTTCTTGCAAAAGATTAGTTCTTATTTTTTTGTGATGAATAGTGGTGAATAATAAAAGGGGTGGACCTCGCACTAAGGATGACATACTGTTTGGTCACTATGTCTGGCAACCTCAATCTTGAGACTTTTACTGGCGAACTACACAGTGCACTTAGAGAATAGACGTGTTATTGAACCCGGTCGCAGTAAATTCGGCTGACAACGACATGATTCCAACCTTTGGAATTTCTCGCCCAGAGCGCATTAAGGATAGTGATTGAGGCACCTACGTCCATTTAAGGCATACCCATACAAAACGATGAAATATACTGCTTCGTACAACTTTTTCAGACCGTAATAAGTCTACTTTCAGCTCATCAACATGTCTAAATGTAAACCTTCCAGTGTTAAATTAGTTTACTGAATCGGAGGTTTTTTGGTGTTTCGAGATCAAAGTTACACATCCCCTATTCTTGCTTGATCACTTGCTCTTTTTTATTTTTATTAGTATTGTTTTCGACTCGTGGCTCGAAGTTAACCTGGTGGATATAGAAGCAGCGCAGCGGGCTTTGGCTACAGTCATATGGTTGCGCACGCTGTTGGATCGACTTATGGAGTTGCAGTTAACGAGTATGTCTAACCAAAAGTTTTAGCCTGTTTTGAATTCGGTGCTCTGAACCATCTTCCCAATGTGTTCACTTCATTGCAATTCATGCTAACAATGATAATGTTACAACACACGTTAAATAAATTTCGCAAGAACAGTGCCGTGTATCTGATAGCTTATAGGACTATGATATTTATTTTAAAAATGCCTGAACCTGTTGCTATTTCCAAGGTGGTATGTCCTCAAACGTCGTCCTGTTGTGTAGGCCCAATAAAGCAGTTTCCTTTTCTCTATTTTTCCTGTTTATTCATCTGACCGTCTGGTTACTATAGTCCATTCAGCCATGTGATCTTTTCGTCCTTGTTTATTATTGGTTGTTGTACAGCGCCAGCTGAACGAGCATGTTTATCCTTGCACCGCATTGGTCGAACCGTGGGTCAGTGATCACGCTGTCTGTTTTGTCACGTGTTTAGGATTGGTAGCCCCAGTTAGGTCAAGAAACGTAGGACTCTTTTCTATGGGTTAGAAGTTAGTAACACCGCCGAACATCCGAGTTGTGAGCAAAACTAGGTTTTCGCCCCTGAGCCCTTGCGTTTGAGATTACATTTTCTTGTTGATTTTATTACTTTCTGTTGTTCATCGAACTAATGCTTCTAGCTGAACCTATCTGCTGATCCATTTGTCCAGTGTGTTTAAGTAGAAAATGAATCTCCTAGGTGCATGACTATGGTCAATTAATGCGAGCGACATCACAGCGTTGTTAGCCAAGCTGAACGTTTTGTTATTTTTTTATTATGACACTAAAATGATTACAGTAGAATGGATCAACCCATGATCCGACGATATACTGTAAATGGGAATGTAAGGGGAACATTCAAGCTAGAACCAGCTTGTTGATTCTGCATTTGAAGACAACGATGTTGTACGTTGGAGGGAAGACTGGAAGGGGGAGAGTGTTTCACGGTTATGCTGTTCTTGGGGGGGAAATGATTAAAAGTTAGAACTGCGACACCTGGGTATAGTCACATGAAATGGGTGGCTAGCCGCTTGTGCGCGGGATCTACAAGAAAGAACAAGCGGGAAAGGGACAGAAGCGAAAAGTTCACTAGAGTGAAATCCAATGTAGTGTCGATAGAATAAGGATAAAGGGTCGACGGTGGGCTAGTGACTGCAAGTTGCACGTTATGGACGGGTCGTTGATGAAACGAATGGCCTTCCTTTGAACCCGATCAAGAAGAGAAACGGAGGTGGACGGGGCTCCACCCCATACGGCTTCTTTCCAACCTCAGAACGAAAACCGTCGGGATTGACCAACTTCCTTCGATTCGCCAGTGCTCACTCTTTAGAAAACTTCATTCTTCTATCCATTACTAATCGTTACTCTATCATGAAGACTCAGAAATGTCTTTCTCGTTGATAGTCCCATCACATTTGGACGCAAGAGCGCATTCCTGAATCTTGGGGCGAATCACTGATCGTTGCCATTGACAAGAAGGGATCCCGCAACAATGGTGAAAACCACCGCGGGATCAGTTTGATCCCGATTGTCACCAAAATGGCAGCCCCGGTCATACTTCGGCGTATGATTCCGTTAAGAGAGATTAACATCCGTCAACAACAAGCCGGATTCCGGCTTGGCCGTAGATGTATTGATCAATTTTTTACGTTGCGTCAGGTCCTTAAGCTGCGTCACACCTGCCAACGATTGCAGTGTTCCTTGACCTGAAAGGAGC